GATCCCGGAACTCATTTGATCCCGGAGAGTGAAATTCCAATGTACGGGTTTAGGAAGTATTGAAAGTCAGGGTTTATGGTTCTATAGGGTCTAGGATTTCGGTTTAGGGTTTAAGATTTAGGGCTTAGGGTTTCAGATTCGAGCTTTAGTGCTTAGGGTTTCCCAACTGGTTGCAGGAAACCTGCCTCGAGTTCTTCGCTGTTTTGCTGGCTTCTCCCTACTCCTCTTAGGGCTCGCACATTCTTACAACCTACTTCCCCACCCCACCCCTCCACACCCCCCACCCACACCCCACCCCCCGCCCCCACCATCCCACCCCCACCCCCCACCCCGCACCCCCCCCGCCCCCAGGCTTTGTGCACATTCTTCTCCATCACAAATCCATAGCTTCAAGAGCATCTGCACATTCACGATTGCCGGCTGATCTGGCAGAAGTCACAAACTTCCACTAGCCGGATGTGCAGAATCTTACAGTCGATGTCCTCTGAGGATGCGCTTGCATGAGTACCTCAGCTCCTGACGCCACGGATCTTTGCTCCCAGGCCAGTGCGCTTCTCCACGTCCTGCAGGAAGTGCTCCAGAGTCAGGACCTCCAAAACTTTCGTGGAAGTGCCTCCTTGGGCTATGTGCCTGCTACCCTTAGGGTTTAGGGTTTAGGGTTTAAGGATTTAGGGTTTAGGGTTTAGGGTTTAGGGCCCCTAAACCCTGAACCCTAAACCCTCCTTCGTCATGTCTGAGTCAAGTCCCCCGCACTTGCCGCTCTTCTTGGACTCGGAGCCAGCACTCTTCTTTTTAGGGTTTAGGGTTTAAGGGTTTTTGGTGTTAAGTTTGAGGGTACGGACACCCTGTTTCGCCGAAAATAGGGATACCAATCCTTAAGAATCCATTGTATAGTATATGCTTGGGCTTTAGAGGGGGTTCCCATACAGTAGCTTTAGGGCCCAAGCATATACGATGTAGGTACATGGAGCAGAAGGCAACCTACACCCCAACCCTAAACCCTAAACCCTAAATCCTAAACCCTAAACCCTAAACCCTAAACCCTAAAACCCTAAACCCTAATCCCTGAAGCCCTCTACGGCAGATGCAAGGCCTGTGCCGACGGGGGGCGCCATCTTCCCGCCTCCGCCTTGCTCGCCCAGGTGGTCAGGGTTTAGGGTTTAGGGTTTAGGGTCCAGGGTTCGGGGTTCAGGGTTTAGGGTTTAGGGTTTGGGGTTTGGGGTTTAGGGTAAACTTTAGGGTTTAGGGTTTATGCTTAAGGGTTTAGGGTTTCGGGCGCCATGAATTGTAGGTAGGCTGAGGGCTTCGGGGAGGACTCTTAAGGGGTGTTCCCCAAAACTAGGGGTGCCCGTTCGGGGGCCAGGGGTTCCACTATCTTGAAAAATGCCAGGGCTAAACCCTAAACCCTAAACCCTAAACCGGGGGGGGGGGGGTCCTGTCAGTGAGGATACAGGAAGTTAGACGCTCCAAAGCGTCGTAGGATGGCGGGCATAAGCCGTTAGGCAGGATCCCAAGAAGGACCCTACATCACAGAGATACATTACCTTCAACCCTGAACCCTAAAACCCCAACCAAACCCTGAACCCAAAACCCTTAGGGGAGACTCTAACTAAACCCTATAGACCCTAAAACCTCACACCCTAACTACCCTCAACCCAGAGCCGAGAACCCTGACAGGAGATTCTGAACCCCAAGCCCCCAAACCCTAAACCCTCTATTCCCTCAGGTTCCCCCCTTAAATATCTTTATTTCTCCCTAGATAGCCCTAATTATGGTGGGAACCTAGGGGGGTAGTCTAGATAGCCCAAAAGCAGGGTTTAGGGTTTAGGGTTTAGGGTTTGCCAAGGTTCCGTGCACGCCACCACGCGGGACCCCCCAGTGCGCGCCCCAGTTCAACGCGCTCTCCCAACCCACCCACCCACGTCTCAACCTTGGGTTGGTTTAGGGTTTTATAATATCGTGTGTGTGTAGTGGGAGGGGGCGCTACGGGCCACCTTTGACCAAATCCTGGGGTACCCCCCGCGAAGTCCTCCCTGTACAGCCCCCCAAAAAGTGTTTTTGGAGGCAAACTTTCCCTCTCAAGGGGGGTCGGAGTTTTAAGCAAGGGTCCAAATACTGTTTTGCTTTGAAGATCGGAAAATACGACCCCCTTGGCCAAAATGAGCTCATGAAAAGGTCGCGGGGGCCCTGGGAAGGCTTTTAGAAATTCCTGGAATTGGGTAGCACGTTGACCCTTTGAAAAGCATTCCGTTACCCCCAAAATCTGGGTCTTTTCTGCCATCTCATTCCTTGTTTTGTTACATCTGGAATCGGCCACCCCCCCCCCCCCCCCCCCCCCCGAACGAAGGCCTTCATGTATACCCCAAGGGGGTGTTTTTTTGGCGGGCTTAGGTTTTTTTGCAAGGTGTTTCCAAATTATGATGTTTATAGCGGGCTTACAAGATCCACAGGTTTATGTCTTGCGCTCCCTTTAGTTTTTGGTCCTAAACCCTAAACCCTAAACCCTGAACCGCGATCGGGCTCGTCCGCAGGCCTGTCGCCACGCGGTATCGCTCGCCGCTGCTTATCGCAGCGCCCGCGGCTCGCTCCAGTTTAGGGTTTAGGGTTTAGGGTTTAGGGTTTAGGGTTTAGCGTTTAGGGTTTAGGGTTTAGGGTTTAGGGTTTAGGGTTTAGGGTTTAGGGGGGGGAAACCTGTCAGCTTAGGGTGTGGGGTTCCTAGAATCCTGGCCTGCCCGAGGGGATGGCCGCGGGGAGAGCGATAACTTCGCACCTGCGCGCAGGTGAGGAGAGTGGTGGGGTTTAGGGTTTAGGGTTTAGGGTTTAGGGTTTAGGGTTTAGGGTTTAGGGTTTAGGGTTTAGGGTTTAGGGTTTAGGGTTTAGGGTTTAGGGTTTAGGGGGGTTTAGGGTTTAGGGTTTACGGTTTAGGGTTTAGGGTATAGGGTTTAGGGTTTAGGGTTTAGGGGTTAGGGGTTTAGGGTTTAAGGTTTAGGTTTCAGGAAAGGATTCTGCTGTGGTATTTTCCTTCTGGGAAAGCTTCTTGAGGATGAGCTCTGGGTTTCGAAGGCTCCCTAAACCCTCGATCCTAAAACCTAAACCCTACACTCTAAGCCCCTCCCTAGCTGTGTAGGTTTCAGGGCATTCTGACCTAGCCCTTTCCCTAACACGCCCCCCCCCCCAAAGTTGTTCCGAGCTTTTGGGTTAAGATTTCATCAGGGTTTAGGGTTTAGGCTTCAGTGTTCGGGGCTTAGGGCTTAGGATTTGAGGGTGGACGGTTCAGGATCATAATCCTCCTAGTGTCCCCCCCCCCCCCTCCTCTGCCCCGAAGGATTCCAAAATTTCCCGCCTAAACCCTGAGCCCCATACCCTAAACTACCCCCAAACCCCTAAACCCTAAACCCCAAACCCTAAACCCCAAACCCCTAAACCCTAAACCCGAAGCCCCAAACCCTAAACCGCAAGGGCAAAACACTGCGGAGGCGCCTACAAGGTTGTCTTTGGCGTCGGGATCTTGGGGGAGAAGTTTGTGAGCGGCGTCGCTCTGCAACCTTGGGGTGAAGGGGGCCTAAACCCTAAACCCTAAACCCTAAACCCTAAACCCTAAACCCTAAACCCTAAACCCTAAACCCTAAACCCTAAACCCCACACCCTAAACCCTAAGGAAGCAACCTCGGGGTGTAGTTGCTGTTGCTTTTTGTTGGGCCGGGGTGTAGGGGGGGGGGGGGGGGGGGGGGGGGGGGGGGGGGGGGGGGGGTGTAGGTGGGTGGGTAGGGGGTGTAGGGGGTGTAGGGGGTGTAGGGGCTGTAGGGGGTGGAGGGGGCCCAGGGGGCGCAGGATTTTTGAGGGCAGCCAACCTCGAGGTGCAGTGTGCGGTTTTTTTTTTTTGGGATGGGCTGGGGTGTAGAGCGGGGCAACCTTGGGGTGTAGGGTGTAGGGTTTAGGGTTTAGGGTTTAGGGTTTAGTGTTTCTTGGGGGTGGTCAGGGGTTTGGGATAAGCTTGGGGAGTAGGTCTTTGGGTTTAGGGCTGGGATCAGGTTTAGGGCGATGTGTTTGTTTTGTGTCTTTTCTTGCAGGAGGGGGGGGGGGGGGGGGGGGGGGGGAAGGGGGCGTAGGGTTCAGGGTTGCAGGCTTGGGAGGCTTTTGTTCGTCGCTCACCCAAAAATAAATTACAGACTTGCTAGGCCTCTTTGAAGCTGCCAACCCGGGAACCATATCAAATGAGTCTTCTACTTGAAGCCCTAGGTCATGACGCACCAGGCTGATCTGTGGGACTAGTGCTATACCCCGCAGAACCCCCCTCCCTACACCCCAAAGCCTGAACCCTGAACCCTGAACCCTGAACCCTAAACCCTAAACCCTAAACCCCGGAAAGCCTGGTGTTAGCTTGAGGTACTTAGGGTTCAGGGCTGGCTGGTGGAAGAGGGCCTTCAACACCTCAGCTTCGAGGCTTTTGAGCTCTTTTTGGTCCTCAGAGTTGCACAGTCGTCAGTGTTTAGGGTTTAGGGTTTAGGGTTTAGGGTTTAGGGCTGTGGCTTTGGATCCAGGGGGTCCAAGTTGCTCCCACAAAGCCCCGATGAAAAAAGCAACGCCGGCGTTTCTCCGCAGCGCCCGCCAAGGGTCAGCTCCCGACCGAAGTTGGCTTTTCTTTACGCTTAAGCAGGGCGCGTGTCTTGCCTATTGTATCGGGAACCCACAGTTAACAGCCTATGGGGATTCGAAAGGACAATAGTTAGATTTGCCTTAAAGCATGAACAACAAACAGAGTTAGGGTTTAGGGTTTAGGGTTTAGGGTTTAGGGTTTAGGGTTTAGGGTTTAGGGTTTAGGGTTTAGGGTTTAGGGTTTAGGGTTTAGGGTTTAGGGTAGAGTTAGGGTTAAGGGTTAAGGGTTAAGGGTTAAGGGTTAAGGGTTAAGGGTTAAGGGTTAAGGGTTAAGGGTTTAGGGGATGAGGTTTAGGCTAGAATGGTGGGCTTAAGGCTTCAGAGACTTCCCAACAGCACCGATCTCACAGCTTCGAGCGCGCCGGAGGCAGGTTGCCGAAGCTTGGGGAGGACTTCCTGGGCTTCGGGATGAGTAGGAATTGAGTTTGCGGTTTCCCAAACCCTAAACCCTAAACCCTAAACCCTAAACCCTAAATCCTAACCCTAAACCCCAAATCTTAAACCCTAAACCCTAGAGGCCCTGAACCCTAAACCCCAAACCCTAGGACGCGTCTGCTCTGCGTCGGCTAAAGGAGAGGAGGGGAAGGATCGTGGAATATTGGATCAGGCCAGCTAGATACACGTTGGTATCTGGATCGAAGAACCTGGTTCTGGGCTTGGGGGTGCGACTTGGCCCCCGCCACTGGCTTTGTGGATGGTGAAGTTGCAACCCCCTACACCCTGGATCAGGTGTTTTTTAGCGGTTCCGGTTCCCTGGACCAGAACTGAAAGTCAACCCCGCAAGCGTATTGAGTTTGAGGGTCGGCTCCCAACATCTTCTGACCCATTTCATTGGTCTTGAAGAGCTTTTCTTCCTCACTTGGGGCCCAGACCCTACGTGAGAAGCCTGCTCGTCCGCAGCTTGAACGACCTACACCTCACTAAGCCAGAGGCCATTCCTGCCAGGCTTTCGGAGAACAATGCGCTCTAAACCCCTCGAACCTCCCTCTAACCCGAAACCCAAAACCCTAACCAAAGCCCAAAATCCTGGAGAAAGCGCCAACAGCTTGGCCGGCTAGCTTTTGGGGATCATGGCCCTGCCCAAACTCTTCGCAGAGGATGGAGTTTGGGGAACTGCTGTTTGGGTTTTAAAAAAGGTGCCTGAATAATTCCAATAGGGTGTTTTCTTTTTTTTTTTTTTTTTTTTTTTTTTTGGGGGGGGGGGGGGTTATTGTAATATAATTATAAAGGGACCATAAGGGAATACTACTAGCAATTATTTTGATCCCTATATTAAGCTGTAGGGTTTAGGGATTAGGGCAGCAGTAATTTGGAAGGGCTGCTGGAGCATGGATGCCGCCGCCAACGCCATGTCCGCACCTGTTGGGAACAAGCTTCAGTCCGAATCGGGTTGAGCCATGGGACCCCATGCGCTAAAGTAAACTGAAATAGGCACAACCATGCGTACGAATGTATATGACGTGTACCTCGAGTTCTGGTCTATGTTGAATTTTTTGGCTTTGTTCACAAGCCGAAACACCCCGCCCCCGATTAAGGTTCGCTTGAGGCTGGAAAGTAGACCTGAACCCTAAAACCTGAAGAAGCTCTGAACTCGACACCTTAAACCCTATACCCTAAACCCTAAACCTCAAACCCTAAACCCTAAACCCTAAACCCCAAACCCTAAACCCTAAACACCCAAGCTCCGAGCCCCCAGAACCGGGACTGAGGCTTCCCCCCTAACTCGACACGTTCAGGGCGCTTGAGGGTTCAGGTGTTAGGCTTTTCATGGCTCAAGGGGTTTAGGGTTTAGGGTTTAGGGTTTAGGGCTTAGGGGTTAGGGTTTAGGGTTTAGGGCTTAGGGCTTAGGGTTTAGGGTCTAGGGTTGAGGATGCTAATGGCTCAGGGGTTGTAGGGTCTAGGGTTTAGGGCTAGGGTCTTAATGGTTGGGGTTCAGGGTTTAGGGCTTTAAGGGCTTTTTGTGGCTTGCGGGTTCAGGGTTATGGATCAATCCTGAGTCCCAAGCACTTTGAGTCGCATGGTCTTTGCTTTCTTTCGTTTTTTTTTTTTTTTTTTTTTGGGGGGGGGGGGGGGGGGTGGGGGAGGGAGGGTTCAGGGTTTAGGGTTTGGGTTTTGGGTTTGAGGGTTTGGGGCTTAGGGTTTAGGCGTTGGGCCTTAGGGTTTGGGTTTCGGGTTTAAGCCGTAGGATTCAGGGTTTAGGGTTTAGGGTTGGCCGCACCCGGTGAGCCTTGCAGCATGGACATGTTCCAGGTGATGGCGTACTCCAGACTCTCCTGCGAACAGGGTTTGGGGCACCCTATGCACCCAAACCCTAAGCCCTAAGCCCTAAGCCCTAAACCCTAAACCCTAAACCCTAGGAGTTGCTGGTTGGCAGGCTCTCCCTGGACCATCCGCCCGAACCCCCCCCCCCCCCAAACTCAAAAGCCTGGGACCCCCCCAACATCCTGCGGATTTGGGGTTCTTCAAGGGTTTAGGGTTTAACGTTTAGGGTTTTGTGTTTAGGGGCCCTGGAGGAAGTCTGATTCTCTATCTTACGGGGATTCACTTCAAGGAAGCAGATCCTCATAGTCTGATGTACACACTCCAAGGAGCAACAGGACTGCGGGTAAAACCACGTCTGGGAGAAAAGACCAACAGCCCGAATGTGAACAAAAAGGGCACCTGCCAGCGGCTCTCTACTTCTGAGGGTGGCGCGAAAACCTGACAAGAAGTAGGCGGAGACCTTCCCTTACTTATGAGGGCATCCAAATCCTAAACCCTAAAACGGGTTAAGGCTTCAGGGCACGGGGCACGTAAGTCGCTGCTCGGCTAGCGTTCTCACTGCCACCGCGTGAAGGGCCCCGGCTCCTCGAGGACGAATTCGGTGTCCACCCGAACTGGCCACGGAATGCTGTGTAGGTCCACTCCGATGTGTTTTCGCTGTGGTCCAGCAGGATGACCCGCTGGCCTTTCTGGAGCGCCAGGTACTCGTCTCCATAGGCTGAAGCCTTGAAATGAGCCTTGCTCACGCCCTCGGTATGGCGATGGACTTGCTGTCCAACATCAGCGCCAATGCGACCGCCCGCCTGCCTAGGGGCCCTTCAACCGCCAAACCCCAAAACCCAAACCTTAAAACCCCCTGAGCCGCTTAAACCCCAAAACAAGCGCGAATCCCTAAAACCCTAAAACCCTAAAACCCTAAAACCCGAAAACCCGAAAACCCGAAAACCCTAAACCCTAAACCCTAAAAACTAAATTAAAGCCTAAAAACTAAACCCTAAACCCTAAATCCTAAACCCTAAACCCTAAACCCTAAACCCTAAACCCTAGCCCCGAGCCCGCCTCGACGGAGTGGTCGCGCGCGTAGTTGAGGAACCTCGGGTTCACATGTCGCGCAGGAGAAGGGTTTAGGGTTTAGGGTTTAGGGTTTGGGGTTTAGGGTTTAGGGTTTAGGGTTTAGGGGTTTAGGGCTTGGGTTTGCTATTATATAGGGTTTGGTAGAGCATGGGGTTTAGTGCTTGGAAAATGCTTCAAGGTTAAAGGCTTAGAAAAACCAAACTTCAATCCCTCAAACCTTCGAGCTCTCAAGCCATCCAAGTACTAAATCCTAAACCCTATCCCTAACCTTAAACCCGCCCTAGAACTTAAAATTAGTAAATATGTCCTGAAATTCTGAACAACCGTCGAACAAATCTCAAAATGAAATCTCAAGCCCCCCGGGAGCCAGAAGCATCTGTAGGGGGTGGATTGGGGACGCAAAAACAAACGGTTCCGGATTTGGGGTTTGAGGGGTTTAGGGTTTAGGGTTTAGGGTTTAGAGTTTAGGGTTTAGAGTTTAGGGTTTAGGGTTTAGGGTTACTTCTATCTAAACTATGCACTGTAGAGCTATATAGGGATCGGGCTCAACCGCCCAGGAGCTTCTACACTTGACCGCTCCAACCCCAAGGCACAGAACCAGGCAAGAAAAACCAGGTTTAGGGTTTAGGGTTTAGGGCTTAGGACTTACTGTTTAGGGCCGGTTTATGTATCGAGCCCTCAAGACAAACCCTATACCAGCCTTAATAAAAACATCCTCCAACAACCCGAGTTTCGGGCATAGAGGGCAACCCTAAACCCGGAGCCCTTAACCCTAAGCCCTGAGCCCTAAAAAACCCTAAACCCTAAACCCGGAGCCTTAAGCCCTAAGCCCTAAGCCCTAGGCCCTAGGCCCTAGACCCTAGACCCTAAACCCTAAACCCTAAAGCCTGCCTAAACCCTAAACCCTAAACCCTAAGCCCGAACCGGACCAGGGGGACATCCGAGCAGCTGCTTCACCCCAAGCGTTGCAACGGGGCTCTTTGCGGCGATGGCCTTTGCAAGGTCCAGGGCCTGGCGGACAGAAGAGTTGGGTTTAGGGTCTAGGGTTTAGGGTTTCGGGTTTAGGGTCTAGGGTTTAGGGTTTCGGGTTTAGGGTGTAGGGTTTAGGGTTTAGGGTTTAGGGTCTAAGGCTTAGGGTCTAGGGTTGGGCCAGCGATTCGCAAGGCCCCTTTACATCACTACTATGTGTTTGGTATCGCCCCACCCTCCCAGCTTCCTTCAGAAAGACTTGATTTAGTGTCCGTGAGGGGTGCCTCAGATTCGGAAGAAAGTGGCCAATTCCAGCAAAAAATCGGCACAGGTTTGAAGGCAGAAACGACACCCTGACTTTCCAGATTTTGGGGCTTCTCAGCGTCCCCCTGGTTGGAGGCGTTGGAGATATGAGTAGGGGGGTCCAGAGGGTCTGTCAGGGTCTCAGGCTTTTCTCAAGGTGTCCAGGGAGTCCCAGTGCGGAAACCACATCCAAGCTGACTTGGCAAGAGGTGCCCTGGGCCCTGGGGACCTCCCTGACTGCTCAAAAACATAATTTTTTCATAGGGAAGGTTTAGGGTTTAGGCTTGGGGTTTAGGGTTTAGGATCAGGCTTCAGTCTAGGGATAAGGTTTGAAGTCTGGAGAGGTTGACGACGGTAGGGCTTACAAACTCAACTCAAAAGGTTCGAGAGCCGCAGGGCCCTAAGCCCCTAGACCCGAAGCCCTAAACACCCTAAACCCTAAACCCTAAACCCTAAACCCTAAACCCTAAACCCTAAACCCTAAACCCTAAACCCTAAACCCTAAACCCTAAACCCTAAACCGAGTTGATGTAGGGCTTGGCGCAGTTGAGGGAAGCAAGCTCGGGCATTTTTGGTCTAGTAAGGCAAAGTAGAGGTGTACTCACACATACAGGGTGGGGCCCCCTAGTTATAAGTAGAGTTATAAGGGCCCTAAATTGGGTTATAAGGACCCTAAGTTAGGTTATAAGTCCCTTAACTACAGTTAGTATAGTAAGGGGGCCCCACCCTGTATACATGCCACAGATCTTAAGAGCAGACAGAAGACCCAGGAACCACCAAAAGCTCCACGAACCTCTCCGAGCCGTTCTGGCAACTTGGGGGTCTCCGGCAAACCCCCGCGACTTTTACTATGTTCCGGGCTCGATTCTCGATGCAAGCCTGATGACAATGCGCATGGTGATTTGACTTCTACGTGAACCCTTTGGCCAAAAAAAAATGGCTCGCCGACTCCAACATGGTTCGACAGAGTTCAAACGAAACCTTTGCCGAATTAGCCCTAAACCCTAAACCCTAAACCCTAAACCCTAAACCCTAAACCCTAATCCCTAAACCCTATGAAGTCGAAAAAGCACAACGGCCGGCCCGCCAAGCCCATTCCTTTGAGCATGAACTTTCTTCGGGATTTGCGTCCGTGTACTCTTTGTTTGGGGTCTCTTCAAGTGTTTGTATGTACAAACATAACCCCACCAAAACCTGACAAAAACGCAACACAACCTGACAAAAGCACTACAAAACCTGACAAAAGCCCAACAAAACCCGACAAATGCATCATCTGAAAAAACACATAATCGCCATCAGTGAAGGCAATTTCTCGTCGCACAAATCACACGGAGGGCGCTTTCACAAATCGGACATCGGGTGTGCAAACCTGGGCAAGCAGTGTTCGGAGCACTACAGCCTGACATTTTCCCACTGCAGCCTGACCTTTTCCCACCCTTTCATTGATAACTACATCCTCACATTTTGTGGCCTCAACCTGACCTGACCTAACATTTCCCACCCTTTCCCCACTACAACCTGACATTTTCCCACTAAAACCTGACATTTTCCCACTTTTCGGTCGTGCCTCAGGCACACCAAAAGAAACATAGACTTGAGTTTAAAGAGGAAGGAAATGCTGCCCTTTTTTCGAGCACTCCCACTTTTCGGCCGGGTGGATGAGCAAGCAGCATAGGCCATGGAGATCGAAGAGCCAATCCAGACTGCTGGGTTTAGGGTTTAGGTTTGACGACACCCACGAAATCCCAAAACTACCTTGGGAGGGAATATGTCAGGTTTTTCCGGTTTGTGACAACCCGTTTTTTCACGTGAAGAGTACCCTTTTTGAAAGGCACAACACGAACATCTAAGATTTCTAAAACGTAAACTCCCGTATATAAACCTTTGAACGTTAGGACCGACAGCCACAGACAGTGAAGTATATGGAGCGCTTCGCTTTGGGTAGAACTTTATCATGTTTGTGAAATCTCGCCAGGAAATCCCTGCAGTAGAAATCCAATAGCCAACGAAGTCACCTTGCGTCGTGTCGTATCGTGTCGTGTGATGTCGTGTCGTGTCGTGTCATGTCGTGTGGTGTCGTGTGGTGCTGCGTTGTGTTGTGTTGTTTTGCGCCGTGTCGTGTCGTGGTGCATGGCGCGCGCGACTGCACGCATGTGCACACGGGTGCATGTATACCCTCGAGAACCTGCGTATTCGTGCCACAGCTCATAGCCCATGCTTCAAACCTCCCCTTGAACCTCCCCTATAAGATTTGTCGCCAAAACAACAATATAACAGCCCACAAATCAAACCCTGGACTAGGTTGGCCCTCTGACAAAAGCCCAAAGCAGGGTCCCCTTACACTCCCAAGAGGCACCCAAATCTTCCGAAACCCCTGAATTGAGGAATACACCCTAATGAATACTAAGGATCATTACTATGAATCAGGAAATGCTCCTTAATTAAGCGTTCAGGAATATACCCTAATGTATACTGAGGATCATGATTATGAATCAGGGCATGTTCCTTAACTTCAAGGGGTTTTGGAAGATCTTGGAAATTTTAAAATATGCCGAGGTCCTTTGGAAACCTTCTTAAGGACAAATAGTGCTGGGATTCCCTATGCTTGACTCTTAGGGATTGAGGCTATTGAGTTTCCAACGGTTTAGGGTTTAGGGTTTAGGGTTTAGGGTTTAGGGTTTACGCCTCGGCCATCATCGCCTCCTTGCTGGCGCAGACGCGCGAGACCAAGCCCTGCTGGTAGGCCTTGAGCCGCTTCCGGCAGGGGGCTTCGGGGTTTAGGGTTTAGGGTTTAGGGTTGGAGCATCCTCAAAAGGCAGGCGAGGGGAGGGCTGAGGGTCTTTTTAGGGCTGTAAGGCTTGAAGGCTTAGGGTGTTTCTTTGGGTCTGCTGGCGGCGAGTTTAGGGTTTTTTTGGGTTCGGGTCAAGGGCGGGGGGTGAACACCGAACGATCTAGGTCCTAAGCACAAGCAGCATAATAGGTTTCTGTCGGATTCAGCAGGGCTTTGGGGAGTCTGCCTTAAAGTTTACAGAGTTTGTGGCATATATGACTCCTTGTATTGTATTGATTCATCAGGAAAATTCCAACCCCAACACCTCCAAACCCCGAAACCCCTGGACCCTTCACCCACCCTTAAACCTCGCAACTCGCAACCCTAAACCCTAAACCCTAGACCCTAAACCCTAAACCCTAAACCCTAAAGCCTAAACAAAACGTTCTCAACTTCCCAAGCTCCTGCCTCGGTGGCCGCCATCTTTCGCCCTGACAGCGCCAGCTCCCGAACGAGGCTCCTTGGGGGCAGTGGCAGGTTCAGGGGTTTCGGGGTTTCGGGGTTTCGGGGTTTCGGGGTTTCGGGGTTTCGGGGTTTAGGTTGGGGGTTGGTTTGCGGGTTTGGGGGTTTGGGGTTTTGGGGGTTTGGGGGGTTTGGGGGTTTGGGGGTTTGGGGGGTTTGGGGGTTTGGGGGGTTTGGGGGGGTTTGGGGGGGTTTGGGGGGGTTTGGGGGGGTTTGGGGGTTTGGGGGTTTGGGGGGTTTGGGGGTTTGGGGGTTTGGGGGTTTGGGGTTTGGGTTCACGGAGTTAACGGAGTTAGGGTTTTTGTGTTTTAAGAGTTTTGGGGGTTGGGTTCAGGTTTACTGAAAGTTTGGGCTTTTGGGGGTTCATAGGTCTTACAGAAGCCCTTTACCTTTCGTGCCCTCCCAACAACACAACTTGAAGCGCACTCGAGTCGCGATCCGAATCTTAGAGCGGTTACATGGACATGGCTCTTCTTACTTGGGAAACCCTTACATGCCCCTTATATACCCTTATATACTCTTGTACCCTACTGAGGATCCCTTCAAAAAGGTCTACCCCCGGCGTCCGAAAGGGCCTTGCTTGGGTTGCATATACGTATACAATGATGGCTACAACCCGCCCAAAACAAAATGGGAAGGTCGGGCTTCGGGCTTGCAAGGGTCTGCTATGCCAGGCCCTGAAGCCAAACCAGCAAAGTCTGAATCCTAAACCATCACCCCGGAACCCTAAACCCCAAACACACACCCCAAACCCCAAACCCCAAACCCCAAACCCCAAACCCCAAACCCCAAACCCCCTGAACCCTAAACCCTGAACCCTGAACCCTAAACCCTCAACCCCAAACCCTAAACCCTAAACCCCAAACCCCAAACCTGCAGAGGCCCATGCTACCTTAACCTTGTTACGCCCGAGCGACTGGTTGCCAATGATCTTCGGGAACCGCTGCAGACCACCGACATCCTAGGTGGTGTTATAGGGTTTAGGGTTTCGGGCTTATAGGGTTTAGGGCTTAGGGTAAGTAGTGTCTGTAGGCTCCAGAGAAAGTTTTTTAAGTTACAGCCTTAAAATTTTACAACCCCACACCCGAAACCCGACAACCATACAACCCTAAAGACTACAACCCTATAAAACCCGAAAGGTTGCAACTACAAATTCAGAAAAGTGTAACCCTAAGTTTTTGAGAGCCGTACAGAAATAACCCTGATCCCCATAAGCCCCACAGAGCTTTCAACTGCGCGACTCTGAGCCAAACTCCCTGTAGGGCATAAAATTTAGCCCTAAGGGTCCATGTACCTCATTATTGTATGCTTGGGCCTTAAAGTACCTCCTACACAGGGACTTAGGGCCCAAGTGCATAATAATGAGGTACATGGACCCTTAGGGTAGGGTTTAGGGTTTTCGGCTGTAGGGCTTAAGGAGATAAACCCTGCGCCGATGATCGGGCCGGGCCGAGGCGGGCCGACGTGCAGTGTTTCTAATGACGGTTCAAGGTTTTGTTTGAACATTTCCCCAAAAGCACACGGCTTTTCAGCTTAGTAGCCCTGTAGCCATATTTGAATAAGGGCACCCTTCTTTGGGTTGGTTACCTTATACGGGAACCTTGAACCCCAAAAAGGCAGAAGGGTACCACTGGGCTGCCAAGTTAGGAAACCTAACCCTGGACTCGAAACCCTCAACCCATATAAAATTGAGCGTGTGTTTTACATCGTACGTGAATTGCTCGCGCCTCTTGAGTCAACATTCGAGATGTCCAGCTTGTTCAATTAAACCTTAGAACTGTTGTCCAACGCTGCAGGTGGCCGGGGTGGTAGGCCGTTTAGGCATTGCCTTTGTTGGCACCCGTTTTTCTTTTCCCCTAGATGGTCCCAGATGGGCTGAGAGCTGGGAATGGCGTCCGAGCAGGTTGCCACCGCCGCCACAGCGAAGCCGGTCCTGAGATACGGCCCATCATAGTTGCCAGGATGCCCAACTTGCGGTAGTGTTACGTCTTTGCGCTGGTCCGACAGGCTGAGGTCTGCCCACGGCCGTTGCTGCATCTTGCTGCAATGCTGGGTTGATCTTGGGTAGGTTTGGGAGCCCTCTAAAATTAATTTGGCTTTACAAGGATTAAATAGGGAAGGAAAGGTAATGAACAAAACAGAAATATGTTCAAGCCTATCACTGTGAATTGCATCCACTCCAACACCATACAGCTTGGTAAGAGCTTAAGAGCACTGATTGGCAGTGGCTTATAGGGTTTAGGGTTTAGATCGAGCACCTGCGGTCAGCCATACCCCCTGAAAGTGCCTCACCTGCCCGAAACTCAAAATACCTTCGGCAAAACTCACAAACTCAAAGAATCTAAACGTAAAGGGCACAAGACAACGAAAAGCACTCGGCAAAAACCAGCGTGCTTTTCTCAAAAACCGAACCCTGCGCACGAAAGCAAGCCCAATAAGCCCTAAACCCAAACCCTAAACCAACTCTAAAACCCATCCTCCGCCTAGTCATCGATCAACCTTGCAAGCGTAGGGTTTACGGATGTAGGGGTTAGGCGTTGACCCTAAAGCCTAAAAGTTGGGAATTTAGGGTTTAGGGTGTTCAGGGAACGCCCAGGCCTTGAAGGCTAAAGCCCTAAGCTCCATAAAGGCCTACGAAGCCCGAAGCCCCAAGAGACCCCAGCTGTAAACCGCTTAAGAAGCCGAAGCAGCTAGGGTTTAGGGTTTAGGGTTTAGGGTTTAGGGTTTAGGGTTTAGGGTTTAGGGTTTAGGGTTTAGGGTTTAGGGTTTAGGGTTTAGGGTGTAGGGTTTAGGGTTTAGGGTTTAGGGTTTAGGGTTTAGGGCTCAATTAGGGTTTAGGGAACAGCCTAGCATCCGCCGCCAGTCCCACATCGACTTCAGCAGCTTGGAAGTACGCATCCTCGCTCTGCAGAGCCAGCCATTTTGTGTGGGGGAATGGATTTTCGGTTAGGGTTTAGGGTTTAGGGTTTGGGGTTGAGGGTTGAGGGTTGAGGGTTGAGGGTTTAGGGTTTAGGGTTTAGGTTTTACGTGGACAAGGCATACCTCAAAGAACTCAAAACGACTTGTGGTAGGTTCTGGCCAGGTGAACATTTGGTTCCGCAGAGGCCAGGTGCCCGTCAAGCGACCTGAAGCACACCCAAGCCAAACCACAGGGCTCAGGGTTTAGGTCGTTCCATCCCACACCCCTTTAAACCCTAAACCCTAAACCCTAAACCCTAAACCCTAAACCCTAAACCCTTCGGGGCTTGCTTGACCCTCCTTCCGGGTGCAACCATCTCCACCCCTGTTCGGGGTTCAACACTGCACCCTTCCTGGGAGCCGAAGCCTTCCGTGCAGCCTTGTGAGCGGTCCTCCGTGCAGAAGCGGATGTCACAAGCCGTGATCATCCTTAGTTTCGGCCATCACTGATCCGTAGCCGGGTTTAATACTCCGTTTAATACACTAGGATGACCCTACATAAGAGACCCTCTGAGAAGGATTCCTACATATCCCAAAGGGCTCACCCGGGCTTATTGGTTGAAGCCCGGGTTTAGGGTTTTAGGTTTTGGGTTCAGGAACCCAAATCGCCAATCACCTCAAGTCGACACCCTATAACAATGAGCCCCAAATCCCTGGCCCCAATCGCCGTCCCGGATCCCTACGCCGCCGTCAGCTTGACTAGGGTTTAGGGTTTAGGCTCCAACCCTGAACCAAAAAACAACTCAAAGTCCTAATCCTTCAAAAGCACAAGTCTTCAACCCAAAGCCCGGAAGCCAACATGCTCAACACAAGCCCCTCCTCCCCCAACCCTCTGCCCTAAACCCTAAACCCTAAACCCTAAACCCTAAACCCTAAACCCTAAACCCTATAGATGGCCACAAAAACCCAAAGTCCCTGCCACGATTCTCGAGGCCGGCTCCCACCACGGCGCCGTGGACGCAGCCCACCACAGCCTTGCCACAGGCCTCCTCAGCTTTGTAGGGTTCTTATGGGGTTTAGGGTTTAGGGTCTAGGGTTTGGGGTTTGGGGCTTGGGGTTTAGGGTCAGCCTTGCCACAGGCCTCCTCAGTAGGGTTCAGGGTTCAGGGTTTAGGGTTTAGGGCTTTAGGGTTTGGGGTTTGGGGTTCAGGGTTTAGAGTTAGGGTTTTCAGCAACTCCTCTCAGGGCTTCCAGCGGCTTCCACAGGGGTTTCTAGGGCTTCCAGGCTTCCAGAGGCTGAGGAACCCCCTGCTACCTTTTGTCAAAACCCGCAGCGCCTTGGGTTGCTTGGAGGTTCATGGGCACTTGTAAGTAGGGTCATAAGTAGGGTAACTATGGCTATAGCCTTACTTCGGGTACCTCTAACCCTACTTGTAAGGACCCATGTACCTCCAAGTAGGGTTTATTATTACAAGTTCCGGTACCCGTCCGGCCGGCAGCTTCGTAGGGGTCTTGAGGCTGAATCAGTTATGTAGGGTTGAGGGTGTCAGGTATGGGCTTGGCATGCCAAGCTTTTAGGGAGGCTATGTAGGGCTTAGGGCTCTTAGGGGTTCGGGCTTGTGATTCCTAGGTTTTCGGCTTCGAGGGCTTATAGTACTTCCTAGGAAGCCTTGGGCTTTGTCTTTAAAACAACACACCCTCTGAAAAATCAAGCGATTAAGACTTGTACCCCTAGGGTTGTACCCCTCAAGGTTTCTCTTAATATACTCCTGCTTATGTCCCTTTATTCCCTTACAGGACCTTTAACTAGGGTCCCCCAACCCAACCTAAGGGCGCAACCTTGAACGTCTAGGGTAAGGTCCTATGAAGAAAGACTCCAGAAGGTATGGAAGATCCCCATTGCTTTGTGTTTAAGGCTGAAGACCCCTACAGGGCTTCGGATTCTCTGGGTTTTTGGGTTCTGAAGGCTTACGACTGTGAGGGTTTATGACAGGTCTTTTAAGGTTCCGTAAGCTACGGGTAGGAATGGCAAGGGAACAAGAACCTAAGAAGCCCTAAGCGCTTAAAGCTAAACCCGCAACCTCTTCAACCCAAATTAACCTTCAACCTCCTAACCCTACTAAACCTTAAAACCCTCAACCCTCAACCCCTAAACCCTGGGGCCTCAACCCTTAAACCCCAAACCCTACACCCCCAACCCCTCGACCCCAAAATAAAGCGCTTTCAATGGGAACCCCAAACCGAATATCGTAGGAACATAGTAGAAACATACCTACCAGGATTCTTATATTTAGTTTGGATCCTTTTCAACCCCCAAACCCTAAATCAACCCCTAAATCCTGACCTGAAACCCTGAACCCTCAGTCCTTGTACCCAAACACCCCTAAACCCTAAACCCTAAACCCTAAACCCTACACCCTAAACCCCAAGTCGGCACCAAAGGCGCAAGGGACGTGAACGCGGCCTGCCAGGCCTGGCCGGCTTCGGTTCAGGACTTTACCCAGGCCCCTGGTAGGGTTTAGGGTTTAGGGTTTAGGGTTTAGGGTTTAGGGTTTAGGGTTTAGGGTTTAGGGTTTAGGGTTTGGGGTTTCGGGTTTAGGGTTTAGGGTTCCTCAGAATGACCCAAGATTCGTATAGGGTACTCGACCATTTTGGGGGCTCTACTTTTTGGATCTTTGAGGGCACCTTGAAGGCTATGCTTGGGGTCTTTGGTGCATCTTTTCGAGTGCTTCATGTAGGGTCTAGGGTTTAAGGTTTAAGGCTTAGGGTCTAGGGTTTAAGGCTTAGGGCTTGGGGTTTAGAAACCTAGACACTTTGAGGGTTCCGGGGTTTGGCAGTTAGGTCCTTGGATTGAATCTCGGGCATTCGCAGGTTGGGGTTTGGGGGGTTTGGGTTGTTTAACCCTAAACCCTAAACCCTAAACCGTAAACCCTAAACCGCTTGATCCTTCGAGTGGTGGGGGCTGGGAGGGTGGGGGCAGCGCCAAAGAAGCATCCGCTGGATGGACTGGTAGCTGTCGATTCACGTGCGCTGCAGAGACGCAGCTCCTCCCTGAGCAGTCCCCAGGAATTAAATCGAGGGGTTTGATTAGGGTTTAGGGTTTAGGGCCTTTAGGGTTTAGGGTTTAGGGTTTAGGGCCATCACCAGTCCAACTGCCTCTGCGAAATCCAAGCCACAGCCAGTTGCCAGCAGAAACTTCAGGTTGGCTGTTTGGACCCTGGCCAGAGCCGGATACGCTGCCGCAGCTCCTATGTTTTGCAGACCGGCATGTCCCAACACGAATACTAGCGGAATCTCTGGCATGAGATTGTCCGCCAAGCGTAAGTTTTGGGTGACCGTTTTCGCCCTGCCCGTAAATGGGGAGTGGCATTAGACAGTGCGAAGGTCCGGTATTCCAATTCCGGTTTAGGGTGTATAGGGTTTAGTGTTTAAGGTTTGGGGTTTAGGGTCCAGAAACCTAGACACTTAAGGGTTGAGAGGTTTTTGGGCAGTTAGGTCCCTTCCGCAGGTGGGGGTTTTGGGAGGGATTGGGGGGGTGCTTTTGGGGGCAACCCTATATCAACCCTATAAATCCTAGTAAGCCCACACCTTGCGGAACTTTGGGGTTTAGGTTTAGGGTTTAGGGTTTAGGGTTTAGGGTTTAGGGTTTAGGGTTTAGGGTTTAGGGTTTAGGGTTTAGGGTTTAGGGCTTAGGGAGGCCTTGCCCATGGCGCGGATGCCCAGGGCTTTGCGGGCGACGTCCTTCTCAGCCTCAGCCGGCCGACCATAAGGAGGCTTTAGGGTTTAGGGTTTAGGGTTTCGGGTTTAGGGTTTAGGGTTTAGGGTTTAGGGTTTCGGGTTTAGGGTTTGGGGTTTGGGGTTTTGGGTTTAGGGTTTAGATTCAGGGTGTAAGGTTTCCAACCGGCGGGGGTGATCTACAGTATGGGCCCTTCAAGGTACCCTATAACCCGAAAATAGACCATAAGGAGGGTTCAGGGTTTACGTAGGGTTTACGGTTTAGAGTTTATGAGGTTTGTAGGGTTTCGGGCTCATAGAGACCCCAAGAAAGGGCCATAGTTTAAACCCAAAGGCCCACCCTTCAAGATGAGAGGTTTAGGGTGGTGGGGCTGGGGTTCACCGATCCTACACCCCCCTTGGAACTTTAGGGTTTAGGGTTCAGGGTTTAGGGTTCAGGGTTTAGGGTTGAAGGGGTCTAGGCGCAAAAAGAAGGGGCATCTTTGTCGTTGTGGTTGCCCACAACCCAGACACCCCACAGCACTGCACCCCACAGTCCCCCAGCCCGACCCTACAGCACCTTAAATCCTAAACCTGAAATCCTAAACCCTATAGACCCAAACCCGAAACCCAAGCCCTGAACCCAAAGAAGCCGAAGCAATCCAGCCAAGCAACTCCGGGACAAAGTTGCATAGGCTCAAGCACACAAAACAGCCAAATACCCCTTAAAAACTCTCATGAACATGAATAGCTCTCTAAAAATCTGGTCCCTTTTTTGGGGGTCCCCGATGGTAGTACGGCACCTTGTAGTAAAAGGGCCCTCAAAAGGGACCCTGGCTTTGTGAACTACCCACATGGAGCCCACGCTCCCAAACCCGAAACCCTCAACCCTAAACCTTAAACCCTAAACCCGTAACCCTAAACCCTAAACCCTAACCCTAAACCCTAAACCCTAAACCCTATAAACCCTCAACCCGAAACCCTAAACCCCCCAAAATTCAGAGCGCCCGACGCCCGCGCTGCCGCCGAACATCTCCGTGGCCGCCCAAAGGTCGAGTCCGGCGCAGAAGCCGCGTCCAGCGCCTTGAGGGGTTCTAGGGTTGAGGGTTGAGGGGGTTTAGGGTTTAGGGTTTAGGGTTTAGGGGTTAGGGTTTAGGGTTTAGGGGTTAGGGGCTTGAGCGGTTTGAGGGGTTTATGGGGCTTTAGGGGGTTTAGGGGGGCTTAGGGGGCTTAGGGGGCTTAGGGTCTTCAGGGGCTCAGGGGTTTGAGCTTTCAGGGTTTAGGGCTTACAGGGTTTCGGGGTTGGAGGGGTTTAAGGGTTCTTAGGGTCCTGAGGGATTACTAGGGTTTAGGGACGTACTCCTGCACCCTTTAGGGATTGAACCCCCCTTTAGGTTGGTTTGGTCAGTGAACACCAGAAGTCCCAACAAATCCTAGACCCGTTTCCCCAGGCCCCCTAAAACTCTAAAGCCCAACAAACACGAAAACCCCAAAAGCTCTACCGACCCCCCCCCCCCCCCCCCGGAGAAAAAAACAAGACCCTACACGCAAAAACCCTAAAACCCTGAAAAACAAAACCTTAAACCCTAAACCATCCACCCTGACTTAGGGCGGTGGTTTTGGAAGAGACTGAACCCCAGAACTCCTAGAATCCTACACCTGCAGCCCTACAAGCGTCAAGCCCCAAAACGTAGAGCCCTCAGACCCTAACACTCGGACACCCCTAAGCAACGCTAAATTACCAGTACTATTTGCTTTAGAACCCCCCCCCCCCC